GTAGGCGGGGGTCACACCCACCAACTGGCCCCCTGGCGCCGTGTAATCCCATCAACGGCCAAGACTCAGAGACTATAAAAACCAGCTCCCGGAACTGCGCGGCCGCATTTGTGGCCTTGCGACATCTTATTATGACATCTTACTATCTCATTCCTACTTTGGACAAACTGGCAGGCTACCGAATGTAGCCTGCCCACATGGCAGAGTCTGGCAAACTCCCCGTGGCGTACCCAATATGCCAAAGACCAGTAAAAATGATGGGTCTCATTCTCCTAAAGAGCCTTGAATATAATCTCAGGGCTAGGATGAAGGAGACGTTACTGGGGCCTGCTCGAGGCAATCGACGAATAACTGAGTCCAATCAAACTCAAAACTAGACCAATTCCTGAGCTTTCAAAATTTATGTGATCCAACAAATCTTCTCTTATGTTTGGACTAGTTTGAGCTGTGTCTTGTATGTCTGTATTCAAAATGAGACTGAAGTAAAATAATAAAGATACAGGAAAAGGTTAGATTACTTGTTCCTCTTATAAGAAATATGAATTTATGAACTTCATAACTTATGAACTTCATTATGAAATATGGCTTATGAACTTCTCAAGTTCCTAGACAATTCAATAAAATGAATGTTGAAGCACACTGGTATCTAAGAAATAATAATATTAGCAAACTGTAGACAAATTAAAGTGGTTTAAGAGAATGCTGAACATACCAGCTTTGCTTATTTTTGGTGGTTTCCTTCTCACACCGGTATTTTTTGCTTTTGAAATTTAAGAGGAAGCAAAACAGTAAAATGAATCAAAAAGAGAGTAAGAATAGACTGTGAGGACCAGAGATATAACTTGTAGGGCACTAATCTTGCTCACCAACAATGTAGGTTCAGTCCTCGGCATCCCATATGGTCCCCCAAGCCCTCCAGGTGTGATCCCTAGCTCAGAGCTAGCAGTCATCCATGACCACAGCTAGATGGGTTTAAAAAAAAAAAAAGACTGCAATGCAGGGAATGGTGGTATGAGAATGGTGATGATGGATGATGGAATGGAAACGGGGAGGACTTAGAGTATTGGCTGGTGCTAGCTGGGAGTCAAGGCCTGGACCAAGGCTCTGACTCTTTCACGACCTGCTTGGGTAAGACATTTGGACTAGCCCTAAGTTCTACACCTCAGAAACAAAAAGATCTGGGCTGAATCAACAGTACAGTGGGAAGGGCATTTACCTTGCATGTGGCCAACCAGGGTTCAAATTCCAGCACCACATACGGCCCCCTGGGCCAACCAGGAATGATTCCTGAGTTCAGAGCCAGAAGTTAGCTCCAAGAACTTTTAGGTATGTCCACCACCTCCATCTCCACCCCCAAAATGAAGAAATAAAAAAATCTGACACAAAACATGACTACAGTTCCTCTTAATTCTAGCAATCCATTATTCTACTATGCCCGCCCCCCCCCACCCCCCCCGTTTCTAGCAGGAAAATGAAGCAAGAATGGATTCAGAGCTGTCAAGAGTATGTGGGTTTGGGGGCCGGAGAGATAGTACAGCAGATAGGGTGTTTGCCTTTCACACAGCCGACCTGGGTTTGATCCCCAGCATCCCATACGGTCCCCCAAGCACCGCCAGGAGTAATTCCTGAGTGCAGAACCAAGATTAACTCTTGAGCATTGCTGGGTGTGGCCCAAAAAGAAAAAAAAAAGTGTATGGGGTTTCAGATCAGACAACTTTGTAACTGTTAGTCTCATGGTGATTTGATAAAAAAATAATAATAATAAAATGTAACTAATTTGTGTGTATAGTATATGTATAGATACAGATATATACATATACACATATATAGATGTAGTTATTTTGTAGATTGTAATAAAGTCATAAATAAATAAATAAATAAATAAGGAGTATGTGGGTTTCCCAAGAGGTCCAGCTCATACAACAACTGCTGTATCCCATGACACTGAGCATTTGATTTTTCCCTGGAGGGCCAAAACCTGTCAATCAGTAAACCTCTGGGTTAAGCTGAGTGCCAGAGTAGCTCAAAGGTAGGGCTCCTTGTTTGTAATTCATTAAATAATTCCGCTAATTCCTTAGGCACAGCAGAACCCACCTAATCTTCCTCTTTCCTCCCCTTCCTTTTCCCACTCACTAAAGAATCCTGATCCATAACAAATCTCATGCAGAGCATAGTTGGAACCTATCCAATCTAGCAAACACAGCCTGCCCAGCTGAGACCTGAGCAAACCAGTTTGACATAGGAAAATTCAATAGCCTGCTATTATCACAGCCAGGGAGACAGGGAACAGTTCTATCCAGCACAGCAGATTTCTGAGACTTTTCAATATGGAGCTGCAGGAGAAGTTTCATCTATTGGAAATATACTGATAGGCACTTACAGCAGTCATTTTCCTTTCATTATCTGGAGATGTCAGTCTACAGTAGAAAAACTAAGGACGAAAGAACGAGGGCGTAAAGAGTACAGGGTACAGATGATAACCTCCTTTCAGTACCTGAGTCCAATCAAACTCAAAGTAATTCCTGGGCTTTCTAAATTTATGTGATCCATACAAGATACGAGAACCAGAAGAAGTAAGAAGGGGAAGAAGTGGAGAAATACTTTGGGGGTGACAAAATCTACAACTGTGCTCTTGCTTGTAATGTGATGTTGAAGGGTAGTGGGTGAAGAAAAGCTTTCTTCTCTTTTTGAGGAGATGGGACCTTCCTACCATTCTTGGCCAACCAGGAGAATGGTTCAACAAGAGGTCCGGGGATGAAACCAGTATTGGCAGCATGCAAGGCATGCATCTTAATCCCTGAACTATCTGGCCTTCTTCTAAACCGTTTCCCCAGCTCTGTCAAAATGGTCAATGAGAACTTTCTCTGAGCTGAGAAGCAAGATTTGGCACACTTGGTGCCTAATAAACATTTATTAAATAAATAAATCAGTACTTGAATGGGCAAACCTATTGGTCACAATGCTCTTTTTGCATTTGAAGATTCACAGAAATGACAGAAGGCATGAAGATAAGCTTCCTCACAGATCAAGATGTACTAACAGTCCCCACTCCTAGACTCTGTAAGCAGTCAGAATGAATCACATAAAGGTGACTTCCTTTAGTCAAGGACCAGTTACAAGGGAACCAGGACTACGTGAATCCCTGACTTGAGAAAACTTGTAAGCTGAAGAGACAGAGTCAGACCACAGTCAACAATGACATAAATTATAATCAGCCTGAAGTCAGATAGGTACATTGTAACTGTAACTAGAATTCAAAGAGAGTGGAGTGGGGCTGGAACATCCAGAAAGTTCCACTGAAGTGAGATTTGGCTTTGACATAGAAAAAAAATATATATATATATATATGTGTGTGTGTGTGTGTGTGTTCATTCAGGGAAACTTGGGTTAATTTCTTGAACTATGATCCCAGCTGAGACATAGTGGTGTTATTTTCCAGGGCTCCCTGAGCCCCCTTCCTCCCAGAATCAGCAGGGCAGGTGAGATGTCCACGGGCATTAAGGCGGATGGGGGCCTCACAATGGACATGCATCTGAGTGGGTAACAGGTTTGAGCCTGAGTGCATGGTTGCTGCCAGGCTGTAACCGAGACATATGAATTTGCTGCTTTAAATGTTCCATTGAGAGAAGCGGCTGGGGAGTACTAATCCTAAGTGAAATCGTCTTGATTACAAAGGAAGAAACGACAACACGTATCATTTAACTGTTGAACCTTACAATGAAACACGAGGCGGCATTAAAGTTCTCTGCCTGTAATGCCACAGTCTAAGCAGCTAATCTTATTTTAGCTGAATGGCATGTTCATTACAGCACATAAGTAGGTAATGTGTGGGATTATTGAAAGGAAAAATAAACCAGTTATGGGCATCATGTTGATTTTTTAACTGTCCGATTTAACTTGGTATTTTTTAAGTCAGATCTAATATACACTCACTTAGCAGAGCTTATGGGACTCTTGCCCAGAAAAAGTATTATGTATGATTTAAGATGCTGGTTTTAATGACACCAATCCATGGTACTCAGCGCTGACTCCAGCCTAAAATTATTAGGAACACTTCCTTAAATTGGAGGTTTCCTGGATGATAAAATAGCACTTCTCTTTATCCACTGAAAACAAAATCATGATGTTTTTGCCATTTTAACTTTTCATAGGCTATGAGGCTTTTTTCTAATGTCTCAAACACCATTTTAAGGGGACCGGCTAAAGATAGCTTCTAATACAATGCAAGATAGTTCAGGAATGTATTCTGTCATTTCAAGCTTTCCTTAAACAAGTATTATTCTGACTCCAAAAACAACTCTTTGAAGTGGGAGTTCAAAAGGAAAAGGAGATAGTTTGTTATTGAAAGAACTATAGTTGGGAGGGAATTTAAAATAAATACAGATATAGGGAATTTAGGAAACCAAATCAAAGGTATAAGATCACACTGCAATTTGTGTAGGCTGCTTGTGGTCCATGAGGAAAAGAAGGATGAGGTGTTGACCAGAGAAATAGCACAGCAGGTAGGCTTACCTTGCATGTAACTGACCCTCCTTGATTCCCAGGACACCTCATACGGTCCCCCTTCATAGCTGGGAATAACCCCCAACCCCAGAGCCAGGAGTAGCCTGATCCAGGCCTTGAATTCTGTGACCAGAGGATCACTAAGATCTTTTTCTTTCAACAATATATATGTTCTTGAAACATAATGTTTCCACTTTAAATTTTTTAGGTTGCTTGTATTTTTGCTTCCACAGTTCACAGTGGGTTATGTCTATTATATGCGTGGTTCAAGCCTTTGGTCAGGAATGCAGTCCCAATTGTAACATCACACTAGGTCTTATGAAGCAGCTCACTTGGTAAGACGCGCAACTGCAGTTCAAACTGGAATGCACCCATGAAAGAAAGCTTAGAAAATACTGGTCCCCTCTGGAGGAACATTTAGCAACTGGTGTCCATTGATTTAGACTTATACTTGAAGATAAGATTGAATTTCTACTTCTCAAGTCCAACAATAAGTAAATAATCCAAAAGTATATTTTTATTTACAGAAAAATTATTTAAGTATAAGGTAATTTTTAACAGTAGCATTTAAATTCAGTACTTGAAAAGCTGAACAATAATGTCAAATTACAACTGAAGTTTTAAAAATGTACTGAAAGGTCAAATACGATACTGTAACTTCCTTAAGCTCCTTCCTTTATTTCAAGGGGTCAAAACACCTACCAATGTTCCTGTGCAAACACATATGCTATTAGTTTCAGAACCGGGACCTAGGCAAAGAATTTTCAATATGACTGAAAAAAAAAAACACTTTAGTATAGTGCTTAATACTTACTTTTTTGAAATCTATTGCTGATGCTCCTTCCCAAAGCATGACTGAACCAGAAAAAATAGTAATGGCTGTCTTTTCTCTTTTAAAGTGCTTATTAAGAACCATATCCCAAAGCAATGGTTTTTAGAAATACAAAATATTGAAAGGTGCTCTAAGAGTCACTACTTGCGGAATCGAAGATGTCATCTTGTAACTTTGCCCATGTAAGCTGGTTTTATCTGCATTAATGAAAGATTGCTTTCAATGGCCCTCGACCACATGCTTCAAATCAAGATAGTGCTATTAGTATCAGCACATGAGCAGCAAACGCAGAACAAACCCTGGCACATTCTGAGTGGATCACAGCCGATTAGAAAAAATGTGAACAGCTTTTAGCTAGGTTACAGATCCAAGAAGGGGCCTCTGCTTTCACTCTGCATATATGGTAAACATAAAGAGAAAAACAAAAACACTTTATCTCGTTCGAGCATTTCATAGTTTCTTGCAGAGATTCAAACTCTTGTACCATTTCATCAAACTCTTATTTCTACAAAGAGCAGTCTTCATCTTCTGAACATTGAAAACAAAGTACTTCCACCAAGAAAGCTAGGGAAAAAAATGAATAAACAAAATTCTTAACACTGAAAACCTGAGGAATAAAACTGTGACAATTCTGAAACAAGGCTTTTACTTAACACATAATATGAACATTCTGAAATAGACTTTGTTTTCTGAGAGTGAAATAAATAAATTTGTTTTCTGAGACTTCATTTCAAGCCTATCACTTTTATCATTTAAGTAACTTGGGAAAAAATAAGCTTCATCCTAAATCAAACTCTCATTCCCACTCAGTCTCCTTCGGAACCATCCAGCAACTGTACAATGAGTGTTCTCCAGGGCCCAGCCTCTCTACTGAAGCTTCAGTTTTTTCCACTCTTCCCTTGTCTCCCTTCCAAAAAAGTCTTCACATATCCATGGGGAAAACCACCATTAAAAACACATACACATACACACACAATTAATATAGTGTGCAACGTTATATCTGCTTTAAAGTAGTAATAAATTATAAATTTCCAAATAAATTAATGTAATACACAATGCAAATTCTTGGTGTATAAAATGAATTCATCTTGTCCTGAATATAATAAAGCAGTCCAATGATTTCAAATGACTTATGAGATAAAGACCAAAGCAATGTGTAAAATATTTATAAAAGTTAAGAAACCAGTTACCATAAATTTTTTTACAAAGATAAATGTAATGTGCTGTACTTCTTCTAAAAATTGGTAGGGAGATTTATGATTAGTGATTCCAAAAGTGACTTTAAGAAAACTAGACACTGAATTGTGTGTTTTATGTAATGCATCACATATTAAATATATATGTAACCATAATACTGTAATGGTAACTTAATCTTTGGGACCTGCTACTTTTTTTGTTTGGCAAGTATATTTATTTTTCAAAGTCTGCTATAACTGATTAAGTTTTAAATATTATTTTTCAAAAAAATTTCTATTTGAGGTACTACATTAAGAAGGAAATAACAGAAGTCTCAAATTATAGTAATATGCCTACCAAAAACAAAGCCAAGATTGTTCTTGCATTTTTTTGTATAGTAACAAGTACACTTTAAAATAGACAGTATCACTATGCCTGGAAATTAAAAATACCATACCCTTAAAAGGGGGTGGAAAAGAAAAGGAAAATTCTTATTTAAAAACAAATTCAAAGTCCTTTCTCCTTAAGAACTTGATGTGTCGAATCACAGTTTCTCTTCTTGTGGACTGAACTGCGTCTTCTATCATTCATCCATGATTTATGCTGCTACATCTCCAATTTTGTAGGTTTTAGTTTGAATTTCCTTGAATGTTTGCAAAGCTGGTACTGGACTTGAGTCGCTTAGCTAGGTAAATAAAAATTATATTTTAACTTAAAATTAATTCTCTAAACATAAAAAACTTTACATAAACTTTGTTTTATATAAACTGTAGTATTCATCTATTTTGCTTTGAATATGAATATATTCAATTTTTTAAAATAACTTTACATATGTTTATCTATTCCCACCAACCTCAGAAACCCTACTTTTGCTAGAAGCTGCACCTGACGGTTAAAATAAACATAAAATGTTATGTTTATTGTGATGTTATCTCGAACATCACAAAATGTTCCAGCTTAAGAAAAGGTACTCAGCTTAGAAAATGGAAGTACTAGGCCAGAGAAATAGCACAGGGGCTAAAGGGTTCGCCTTGCATACAGCTGACCCGAATCCCCAGCATCCCCTAGTGCTCTGAGCACCAAAGGCTGTGATTCACCCCCACCTGTCCCGCCGCCCCCAAATGGATTACAAAATGAGTTGTACACTCCTTGTATACACAAGTATACAAACATATGCTTTCTACAAAAATGTTTTAATTTTATTGCAATGCCAATGAATCATTATTATTATTACTATTATTATTATTATTAGGGCATACTTGGTAGTGCTTGGCATCAAACCCAGACCTTTGAGCTCAGCCCTGAAATCTTTTAATAGTGAATTCCTGCTCCACTCCCCTGCCTCCCGTCTCCTGCCATTCTTCTCTTATCACATGGTAGCCCAACCAAAATACACCTGCACTACATTGGCTGGATTATGGTCAGTATATTCTTTGAGGATCAGTATCTTCTACTGTATCTTGCTCTTTTTTAAAATTCCTAATTCCTACCTCAGGACTTGATGACTATGGAAATATTAAAACAGTGGCATAAAGAAAGATACAGAAAACTACCCAAAAGGTACTATAGCATAATAACTGTTTGATGATACTTGCAAAAGTCCTTGAGTTAATAATTTGCTTAGTCATAAATGATGCTCTGTGAAACATTAAAAGGTATTGAGCAAAGGTTCTACTGAGGGCAGGCTTACGGTTAGATTTGTGGGGGTTTCAGGTTTTAGCTATTTCTGTGTTTATTCACAAAAATGAAAATGAAGTATAGAAAGATTATAAAAATATGGAAAATTGGTAGTTTTGGGCCTCAGTAAAGGGCAGGCTCACCCTCATCCTGGGGTTAGGATGAGGATTAGGATTAGTGGTTAGGGTTACTATCAAGTTACGGAAATGCAATTTCAGACCCTTTCATTTATATTCCAGTACACTAATAAAGCTTCAAAAGGGAATTTCACCAAATTAATATTCTGAGAAACACATCCTAGGAAGTGCTGACATTAAATATAATGTTTCCAGGAACACAGAAAGAGTATAGGGGTTAAGGCACTTGCCCTGCATTCTGCCAGCCCTAGTTATTTTTTTTTGGGGGGGCGGGTCACACCTGGCAATGCACAGGGGTTGCTCCTGGCTCTGCACTCAGGAACTATCCCTAGTGGTGCTCAGGGAACCATATGGGATGCTGGGAATCGAACCCAGGTCAGGCGTGTGCATGGAAAATGCCCCACCTGCTGTGCTATCACTCCAGCCCCCAACCCTAGTTTTAATCTCCAGTACCACAAATGGGTCCCTGAGTACTGCCACGGGTCACTCCTGAATCCAGAGCTAGGAATAGCCTTAAGCACTCCTCAAAAGCATAACGTTCTTTTATTCAACCACTATTTTTGAATACTTACTATGGGCCAGGTATTTTTCATACTAAGTACTTTACATAGTAGTGACACAGAACTGAACAAATAAACACATTAGGCCAGGGAGCTAGACAGGGGTTAAAGTACCTCGTATCCCTCTGAGTCTTGTTCAAATCCCCGACAACCTATGTGGTCCTCCAAGTATTGTCAGGGGTGTCAGGAGTGACCCCTGAGTAGGCCCTAAGCACCACTGGGTGTATCTCCTCTCTCTCCCCCCACAACGCCAAAGGAAAAAATACAGACACTGAAATCTGTGCTAAGGAATCACTCCTGGAAGGGCTCCAGGGACCATATGTGGTGCAGGGGATGTAACCTAGGTCAGGTGCACGAAAGGCAAGCACCATACACACTGGGCTCCACCTCTGCCCACCTACTTCTCTCTTTCCTGTGGACTTTGCATCTACCCATTCAAGAATTTCCCTAAAATTAGTAACCATTTCCAAATTTAGTAATTAGTAATTAATAAACATTTACAAAAATTAGTAAAAAACATTTATTATGCCTCATCTACAGTGACTGGGAAATTAATTGATTTTTTTCATATGTATTGAGGTGCTGGACTTATAATACTGTTCATTATGCTTTTCTTGCACACAGCATTCCAATACCACACCCAGCACTGAGAGCCTGCTTTTCTCCACTCAGTGCCTCAAGGGTCCCTCCCAGCCAAATTTTTCCTCTCATGTGAGCTCAGTTCTACAGACAAAATCTCCAGTGACTCTGCCACTTGTTGTTTGCTTACTGTTTCTTTATATCCCACAGCTGAGAGAATATTTTCTATTTGTTTAGAGGTGCACCTCACTGACATCTATACACATAATATAAATAGAGCTGAACTCCTGAAAACAAACAAAAACAAACACTGTCCTCCCGTTGTTCATTGATTTGCTCGAGCAGGCCCAGTAACGGCTCCATTTTTGAGACTTATTGTTACTGTGTTTGGCATATTGAATACGTCACAGGTAGCTTGCCAGGCTTTGCAGTAATTACTATTTTATCATAGTAATTTCTGGCTGAGGAAATAGTTCAAGGGTTAAGGTACTTGCCTCTAAGTGCCTCATGGACCCAGTTAGACATGCAGTGGACCAGTAAGACCGGCACTACATGGCCCTCACAACACCACTTGGGAGTGTCCCTCGAGCAATAGAGCATGTCGCAAGGCCTGAACACTGACTCCTCCTTAGGCTCTGAAGGATTGCAGGGAGTGGTTCCTACGCTTCCTAAACACTGCATGGCCGGGCCCTCAAACTTTAAAAAAAAAAAAAAAAGATTATTCTGATGAAGCTTGCAGTTGAGTCCAAAGATATGTACTCAGGAGAGAAAGCAGGATCCTCCAGAGAGAAGAGAAAAGCCCCATGAAGTAAAAGAAAGAAATTATATAACCCAGGTTGGGACAGGAGTGGTGTCACAGTGGAATGCGCCAAATAGGTTAATTTCAATATTGATTAAGTGCCATTAAAGAAAGATAATACGTAATAATTTTTAAAGGGTGTAGTTTTGGTTTGGTAGGGATGCCATAAGATGTCTCTTGCTTTGACTTAAGAGCTGGATGACAAGAAGCCGACAAGAGGAAGGCCGGGTGGGTAAGTACAAGAACAGTGAAAAGGAGGCATTCAGGGCCTGGAAGATGGCTCAAAAAGTTCTGGAGTGCTCGGTGTGTGGGAGTCCCGTGTTCAATCTTTGGCATCACCGAGAGGAACCTCCAAACACTGAGCCAAGAGCAGCCCCCACACATCACTGGATATCATCCCCAAAACAAAAACAAAATTAAAAAAGAAAGAAGGATAAAGAGTCAGTGTGAAAGAGCACGGAATGTTGAAGAGCAGAGAGAAGGGCAAAGTGCCTCCACATACCAGGATAAGCAAAGAAATGGGGAAGTAATGAGGGACAGGTCACATAAATGTGGAGAGCATCTCAGGAGCAAGTTTGGAAGTTATTCTAGATGTAACAGGAAAACATGAAGAGTTTCAAGCAGGAGAAGAATACAGAAACAATCTGTGTTAGAAAAAAATTACACTGGGAAGGGGTCGGGGAGGGATACTGAGAATATTGGTGATGGAGAATGGGCACTGGTGGAGGGATGGGTACTCCCTCAAACACTGTTTGATTGAAATGTAATTGCGAAAGTTTGTAAGTCAGTAATTGTATCTTATGATGATTCATTAAAATTAAAAACAAAATTGGTTTTTTTTTTTTTTGCTCTTTTGGGTCACACCCGGTGATGCACAGGAGTTACTCCTGGTTCATGCACTCAGGAATCACTCCTGGCGGTGCTTGGAAGACCATATGGGATGCTGGGAATTGAATCTGGATCGGCCACATGCAAGGCAAACGCCCTACCCACTGTGCTATTGCTCCAGCCCCTAAAAATTTTTTTTAAAAAATAACTCTAGGAACTAGAGAGACAGTACAAGGTTAGAGTGCTTGCCTTAAATAGGGTCAAGTTCATTCAGTTCAATCCCTGGCACTGCATATGGTCTTCTGAGTACTTCCTGGAGTGATAACTGGGTACAGGCTGGGTGTGACATGGTCCCCTGAAGACTGTCAGGAGAGTGATCCCTGAGCACCACTGGGCAGGGCACAGCCACTCACATCCCCTCCCTCTGGGACAAAATTACTTTCAGTTACTAACTGGAGAGAGTCAGGAAATGAAAGCAAGGATATCAAAGAGCTCCTCCCTCATGTGGATAACAGCTGATGATGGCCCAGCTAATGTCTCCTGGCAGACTCAGAGAAACGACAGTACAGGGCATATATTTGGAAGTGGGCTGGCAGTACTTGCTGAGGCATTGACCAAGGGTGAGTGCCAATAGCCACCACCGACCTCTCGGCCTCCCATCTTCCTTTCCAGCCTCTGCCACTGATGACCTTATTCTACAGGACAGTTGAACATCCTCCCCAAAGCCTTAGAAGGGCCCCTGAGGAGGACTTCCAACTCCCTTACTCAGCAACTGCCTTCACATCTCTCCCCTTAGGAGGCATGATTGTAGCTCTGGACGTGGGGAGCTGTTCTAAAATAGAGATGTCAAGTTTTCAGAATGTGTCGTGTTTAAAACAGGCCTAGACATGGCAGGGTTAGGTTTTTATTGAAATAAACCAACGGGGTGTAAGCAGAAACTTACGCAGGATGAGTTTGCGCTTCTTTTGCTCGGAGTGAAGGAAGCTACTCAGATAGAAAACCACAGGCAGGAAGAGAATGAAGACAGACACGGCCACGACGGGCACCGTGTCACTGCAGAGGACTGTGCAGTTGAAGGTTCGACTCCAAAGCTTCCGCGTAATATTCATCTGGAACAGCAGCAAATCATGTTATCAGGTTCTATACGTCACCAGTCTTCCATTCCATTCAGTTACTTTGTTAAAAACTTAAGAGGCACCTAAAATTTGGACTCACTAAACATCCCCCTAAAAAACTCTGTTGATAGGTGAGGGGACAATTTCTTCTGCCAAGATATAAGCTGGTTCACAATCAGTCATTTTATAAACTTATACCTATATTGAAAGTGCATACTCTACATTCATAAACTGTCCAGAGAATGTCCACCTTTCACTGACCTAAAGAAAATTTATTTCAATAAGAACATAGTTAAGTGTCTGCTTCATTTAAAAAAAAAAGAAAAAAAAGAATTTCAAGGGTAACTTTGGGAGTTGATACTGAACTCTGGGACTCCAATTCATAATGTACATGTTCAAATCATCACATCATACACAATAAATGCATCACAGTTTTTAGTAGATCGCTAATGTTCAAGTTGGTTAAAGGTATTTACAATGAATGTACCTGAGATTTGCTTGATTTTTGCCACTTTACTCCGAATGTCTAGATAGTGCCTGGTTTTCAGCAAGCTCAAAGTGGTGGCACAGCTGGCAGTGCCGGAGCTGGTATGGTTATTTATATACATCATTCTCAAGCACTGAGTTCACCCATTTTTATTTCAACCAAAAGTTTGTTTCATCTCACACCTCAATACTCAGGCATCATGTTCCCCTAAAGAGAAGACGTGGTTGCCATCTAGTGATGTTCCCTGTAAAGGCAGGTTCTAAAGTAGATTTTCAAAAAGTCTTTTCTTTTTTCATGCTAAGTGAAATTAGTTAGTTGCACTCATCTGTGGAATATAAAGTAGCATAATATGAGACTAACACTTAAGGACAATAGAGATAAGGGCCAGGAGGATCACGCCATGGTTTGGAAGCCTGTCCCACGTGCTGGGGGAAAAGGCAGTTGGGATGGAGAAAGAACCACTAAGTAAATGATGATTGGGGGGAATCGCCTGGGATGAGAGATGTGTACTGAAAGTAGACCAAGGACCAAATATGATGGCCTCTTAGTAGCTGTATTGAAAATCATAATGCCCAAAATTAGAGTAAGAAAGACTGTACCTGCCAGAGAGGCAGGGAGTGGGGGGAAGGGTCAGAGGGTGGGACACTGGGAACAATGGTGGTGGAAAATGTGCACTGGTGGAGGGATAGGTATTCGAGCACTGTTTGACTGAAACATAATCATGCAAGTTTGTAACTGTATCTCATGGTGATCCAATAAAACTTCTTAAAAATAAATAAAAAGGCTTTTTTGTTGATCATTCAATCAAAACAGATCACTAAGGGTCACTATAAGCCAGGAATTATGACAAAACATGCATGTGGCTCCTTGTCCTCATATGTCTTATATCATACAAGTATATAAGTACATATATAACATAGAATATGAAACAGATACACAAAATATAGCACTGTAATATTGTCCTCCCGTTGTTCATCGATTTGCTCGAGCGGGCACCAGTAACACCTCCATTGTGAGACTTGTTACTGTTTTTGGCATGTTGAATACACCATGGGGTGTTTGCCAGGCTCTGCCGTGCAGGCGGGATACTCTCAGTATCTTGCCAGGCTCTCCGAGAGGGGTGGAGGAATTGAACCCGGGTCGGCCGTGTGCAAGGCAACTACCCTATCTGCTACACTACCGCTCCAGCACACAAAACATATCTAGAAAAATTTAATGTTGAATGTGTGTTAAGGCCACACCCAGCTATGCTTGAGACTGCTCTTAGATGGACAATGAGGGACCATGAAGTGCTAAGAGTCAAACCTAGGGTTCCTGTATGCTGATGCTGAGCATGTACTCCAGCCTTTGATCCATCCCCCTAGCCCCATGGCATATATTTCAGTACAAGAATCCAGGCTATAAATACATACAAAAATTGCAGATCATAATAGACAGAAAGGCATAATTAAAGTAATGGGGTAAAGTGGTTGAGGAATGGTTTCCAGAAACACACATTAGCAAGGCCTAGACTTCTAGAATTAGCAACAAGTACACTGAGATTGAATTGAAATACTAAGATGTAACAAAGCTCATATATTTTTTTTTTTTTTTTTTTTTTTTTTTTGCTTTTTGGGTCACACTCAGCGATGCTCAGGGGTTATTCCTGGCTCATGCACTCAGGAATTACTCCTAGAGGTGCTCAGGGGATCATATGGGATGCTGGGAATCGAATCCGGGTCAGCCATGTTGGCTGCGTGCAAGGCAAACACCCTGCCCTTTGTGCTATCACTCCAGCCCCCAGTTCATACTTTTTAAAATGATGCACACTATCTAATTTTTTTAAAGGAGGCCTACATGGGGCAGGAGAGCAAGGACAGTGGGAAGGATGCTTATCTTTTCACACAGCCAACCTGGATTCAATCCCTGATACCCCATATGGCTCCCTGAACCCACCAGCAGAGATTCCTGAATGCAGAGCCAGAACTGAGCTCTGAGCACCGCTTGGTGTGGTCCAAAAACCAAAAATAAAATAAAAATATATAAAAGATGGCCTAGAAAGCTGCTCACATGATAGAACACAGTCCTTGAGTGTGCAAGGCCCTGGGTTTGGGTACTGTAGAGCCTTCATTCCCCCTAGTCCAGCTTCAAGTAGCCCTGGTGAACCCAGGTACTTACAGAGTGTGGCTCCCACTATAACAACAGCTAAAATAAATTGCAACAACTGTGTGGTCTCTTTATGAATTACCTGTTTAATTTCCTTTTGCAATCTTTTTTACTAAATGTTTATTAATTCTAAAACTTAAGGAGTTTACAACTCTGTTTGAAGACAGTAAATGTAGAGCCTGATGTACCTCTAAAAGAGAGACTACTACTGAAAGTACATTCAGCAACACTGGAAAATACGTATTGTATCAGAAACAAAATACTTACTGCATCTTCCACATCAATGCATAAATGTGTTCCTGATTCACCTTTCTTCTCAAGTTCATTCTCTTTTTGCATTTTACTGTACAGATTACTCAGGGATTTGTATGTTACACCACAGTTTTTACAAACTTCGGAATAATTTTTTAACTGCAGAAGGCTGTGTAAATCCCCCTAAAAGGTTTAAAGCACAGTAATACAAACAATGAATATTGCGTGTCTTTAATGTAAGCAGAGGACAGAAAATGACATAGCATGTAAAAATACCAATTGGCAGCATTCAGAAGTTATGAAATCACTGAATCCCTGGGACCTCTTTATCATCTCTGCCTACACATACACCCAGTTTTCTGGCTTGACTACCATCTGTACATGGTGACTCTCAAATCTGTGTATACTTAGCCTATGTTTCTCCCTTGAGCTTCATTCTCACTTAGAACAAATGACCTCAACTTGAATGTTTAATAGGAAGTTTGTGTATAGCATGTGCAAGGCAGAGTTGCTAATCCCCACTCCTTACAACCAGTTTTTCCCTTGAGCCCATTGTTCTCTAAGATATTCAGGGCCTAGGGTGCTCCTGGTTCTTCTTTTTCCTTCACTGATAAGCCTTTGGCTTTCTTGAAGTTATCCAAGTGATCAGCAAATCTTATAAAACACACTTGCAAACTATGCCTTAAATCTCTATTTCTCCAACACTGCAGTCCACACCTTCACACTGCAGCCCTCCTAAGTTTGTTACTTCAACTCTTACCCATCTACAACTAAGCTTGCACAAGACAGCCAAAGTGATATTTTAGTATATGTATCATAACATGGCACACTCCTGCTTTAAGTGGCCTTGCCTTGTGCTTAGAATTCAGTCCATACTCCTTCTGTTGGTACACAGGGTTCTACAGAGTTGCCCTCAGTCTAATTATCTCTTCAGGCCTCTTTCACATTTGCTTACTAGGCTCCCATCCACGAAGCTTCCTTCTTCCTCCTCTTTGCACATAGCGGGCTCATTCCCATCCTGGTATCCTTGTGTCTACAGGAAATACTGTCATTTGGCTGACGTACTATCTTAAACTCTAGATCATCTCCATACCCACTTGTTTAGCGAAGCACTTCCTACCCACTCTAGAGCAACATACTCCCTTTCCAGGACTCATTGCTATTCACCTCTCATTTCTTTGCCATGAGTTTCACCCCTATAGGACATAAGTTCTGAAGGACAGGAATCAGACGTCTTGTTTACTGCAGTCTCCTGAGTGCCCAGAATGCTGCCCAGCACATATGCAAGTACCCAATAAATACCTGCTGAATGAATTAGTGAATGACTACGGGTTGCCTCCAAGAACTTTCCAAAACCCATCTATAAAAACCAAACCCTTAGTGGAGCAGAAATTTGAGCAGAAATTTCTTCCTGGTTCTTCCAGCCTGGCACAACCATCCTACAATACTGCCCACATGGGCACATTAGAAAGCTGTAGTAACAGTGTGTGGGGGGGAGTTTTTTTAAAACCCTAATCTCATAAAAACAAAACAACAAAATGACTCAAAGCTAAGACATTAAACAAAGACATCAGGAGAAGTGCCATTACTAAAAATGGATCCATTAAATCTGCCACACAGGCAGGGGGTGTGGGGGGGGGTGGTATAATGGGGTTCTTGGTGGTTGAAAATGTGCACTGGTGAAGGGATGGGTGTTTGACCATTGTATTGTATGACCGACCGAGACTTGAACTGAAAGGCTTTATGACTGTTCTCACAGTAATTCAATAAATTTTAAAAAAAAAGAATCCATGCAGCAAAATAGAGATTGCTTTAACAAAGACAATAGGCTAAGGCTGGAGAGATAGTTTAGCAGACAGGGTACATCCCCTGCACAGGGCAAACCTGGGTTTGATCCCCAGAACCACATATGGTTCCCCTCAGCCCTGCCAGGAGTGATCCCCTGAGCACTAGGGTATGGCCTCCTCCCCCAAAATGAAAAATCAAAGCAAATTTTTTTTCAAAAGTCTCGAGTGTGTCATGAGATGTCCTAGTCACTTGCACTGCAGGCTCAGCTGCTGCTGAGGGAGTCAGGGATCTCTCATTGCTCTCCCTACTCCCCACTCTATCTCTTAGGCAGGTTCCAGTCCACCAAACATTAGACACAGAGAGGTGCAGATGAAGCCAGCATCCTCTAGGTGCTCTGAGCAGAGGAACCTTCAGGGGGGTGTCTTGCTAGCTGCCAAACAAAGCGGGTGTCTTCTGCCTCCAGGAGGCAAACTTCACTTTTGGAACTTCCTCTTCTACTTCTGTAACTCTGCTTTAAATCGAGTATCATTTGGCAACAGCGTTCACCTGCCTTCTCCACCTCCATTCCGGCATCCGTCCTACAGACCATCTGCAGGTTTCCCCGCTTTCTACACCTGCACACCAGCACCAGCCTGCACACAGGTGGCTGAAGACCACTGTTCTGTGGTGTAAGAAAACTGAGTGATAGGTTAAAACAACCAGATCTTTCTCTCAAAAGCTTCGGCAAAAAAATAAAATGTGTGGTGCACACAAGAGCATTGGTATGAATACACCGGCACAGAGGAAAGAAACCTTTTTAAAAAGCTGGTGACTACTGAATCTAGTTAGCAGACATGAGTCTTCATGAGCCTTCATTGTATCAGTCTTCAACTTCTCTGCAAGTTTGAAATAAAAAAGATTTTAAGATAACACCTATCAGTTGTACTTTTTTTTTTTTTTGCATAGACATGGGGTAAAGGATAAGATTAGGTTGCCTCTTTTCAAAAAATGTTCTGAAAGAAAAAAATGACTATATTAAAAATAAATGCTTAAATAAAAATAATGCTTAAAACTGACATACACTTAATAGAAGTGACAGGCTAAGGATATTTACAAAAAATCAGGTAGATAACTTGGAGGGTGGGGCATACGCCTGGCATGAGCAAGGCCCCTGGTTCAGTAAGTGACACAGTATGGTCCCAAAGTGCTGTCCAGGAAGCCCTAGTGGGTCCCAGCAGAACTGCATTACTAGATCCAAGTGTCTTACTAACCACTCTGTCTGTGTGTGTCTGTGTATGTGGTGGGGAGGGATAGGAAGGCGTGTGTGTACATACCTAATGGTGTTGGGGAACTATGTCATACCAGAGATCAAAATTGGGGCTCCAGTATACAAAGCATGTGCTCCAGCCCTCTGGCCCATCTCTCCTGCCTCAAGAACTCAGATATGAAAGGCATGCACTCTACCACTGAGTCACATCTCTGTCACAGACTTCTGAAGTTTGCCCTCATTTACAGTGTCTCTGGAAGTGGCACCAGGTCACCTGAACACTGCTTGGAGGATAAAGGGAGAGAAGTGGCAGGAGAGGGGGGAGATTTACAAATAACCCATCAATATTTTCATCTGCATTTCCCAGGGGCTACCTACAAAAGAATATGGAAAATAGCAACTTCACACTTAAAACAGTAAGAAAAGAGCACTTTCGAGAGCAAGAAAAACTCTTGGAAATTAAAAAAAAAAACCTCATGACAAGAAACACAGAAGCAAAGAAATGGAACAATAAAAGACACCAAGGATATACACAACTACTGCTTTAGAAGAGGACCTCACCTAGAACAAAAGGTGGAAAGTATTAGCAAAGAAAAAAGACAAGGGACATCGAAGAAAAGACTCAGGAGACACACTATCTCTAATACAAGAAGGACTATTACAAGCAGAGAGAGAAGCAAGGGCTAAAGACAAACAAGTGAGGATTTTTTTTTAATCTATAAATAAAAGCAAGCCAAATTGCACTGATTTCTACTTTAAAAACTAAAAATATATATATAGATTAACAGGAAACATAATTATCATCCAGAATCATGAGACTCATCAAACTCTCACACCCCTATTAAGTCTAGACCCTTCCTTCATCCCATCTTCCTTTTCTTCCTTTCACATCTGCTGTGTTCAGGGCTAACTCCTGGTGGGGCTCAAGAAACCATATGGGGTGCTAGAATCAAATCCTGGTCAGCACGCAAGACAAACATCAAACCCACTGTACTATCTCTCCAGTCCAAGAAATCTCCAACATGCAGTGTCTGCAAGAATACAGGATATTCTTTTAATATACTACATAAAGTAGCATTTAATAAAATGCCCTGTCAGACTGAAGAACTCAAAAAGGAAAAAAGATCAAAGGCTTAGAAAGGATCATGAACATGAAATAATAAAATATGAGTGACTCTTAATGGAATGGTTACTGGGGTAGGGAAAGTGTTTTTGGGTTTGGAAATTTTTTTTTTTTTTTTTTTTGCTTATGGCTTAGGGCCATACCTGGTTATGCTCAAGGGTAACTCCTAGCTCTGCACTCAGGAATTATTCCTGGAGCTGGGACCATATGGGATGCCGGGAATCGAACCAGAGTTGGTCATGTGCAAGTACCCACTGTACTATCTCTCCAGCCCCTGGAAGGGGTTTTGAGTAAAGTTCAGTTAGAAGGTAAGGGCACAAAATATTTAATAAAAATAATATAAATAATCATGTCAATTGGCTAAAAATCAAATTCAAATAAATATGAATGCAGTCTCCACATGGGCTTGATGCAAGGCAAATATCTTCCCCACTATACTATCTCTCCAGCCCATTAGATGCCTTTTAAAGTAAGTAATATAGGGTTTTTTTGTTTGTTTGTTTTTGCTTTTTGGGTCACATCCAGTGATGCTCAGGGGTTACTCCTGGTGGTGCTTGGGGGACTACATGGGATGCCAGGGATTGAACCTGGGTCAGTGTGCAAGGCAAACACCCTACCCACTGTACTACTGCTCTGACTCCAGTAATATATGTTTAAGCAAATGTTAATAAGAAATACTTGGAAAAGAATAAGCTTCCCATGGGCATAATAATATCTCATTCCAAAAACTTTTTGCATAACACGGAAAGCAAAGGTTAATACAGTGTTTTAATTAAACAACCTGCAGACCCAGTAAGTAAATTCATACTCATTATCGGAACTGGCTCCTCACTACCAAACACTTGAAAATAGTCAGGACAGATGTTTCCCTTTCCACTTTACACATAAGAAAATTGAAGTTTTGATGATTTACCCAAGAGCTAATAAGTGGAATATCGAAGCAAAAATCTCTCAACCACCAAATTCTCCACATTGTGTAGATAAATATCACAATGACTTTTATATATATAAATTGAGACTATTTATTATTCATCTGCACAAGGCAACATTTTAATTTTAAATATCATATAAAAAATACCTGAAGGTTATTTTCAAAGCAGGTCAAGGTGTGATTAAATAGAGTGAGGAAGTAAATCGTGCTATTAGATAATTCATCACTTGTGTTCGTTAAGCAATCTGTCAAGGAAAAAAAAGTATATTAATATGTCTCAAGCAAAAATGTTATTCCATCATCTACCTCTTAAGCTGTATCATCTGTTTCACACTATAGCACCTTATTCAATCAGTGTAAAATGTTACATAACACATAAGATTATTTTCCAAATACATGAAGCTTACACCTTTGGTTTCCTAATTTTAAAAAATCATTTTTTTAACCATTTCCTGGGACTGGAGAGATAGTAGAGGGGATCTATTATCTATAAGTAGAGCACTTGCCTTGCACGCACCTGATCCGGGTTAGATCAATCCCCTGCATCCTGTATGGCCCCCCCAAACCCCACCAGGAGTGATTCCAGAGCACAGAGCCAGGAATAACCCCTAAGCACCACCAAGTGTAGTCCAAAAACAAAACAAAAAGTCACCGATTTCCTTTTTCTTTATTTTATGCAAGAAATTTACATCTGAAACAGTTGCATAGTCTAAGGACACATGAAAAACTTTAGGATTTTCCTCAGCCATCACTGGGTATGGCCCCAAATTCCAAAATAAAAACCACTTAACTTATAAAATTATTATGAAAAATAAAAAGTATAATTTAATTTTTATAGGAAGCTACTTTGAATACAAAAGAACTTACTCTTCTATTTCACTGGCAGACATTCCTTTTCCATTCAAATAATTTAAAAATTAAACAAAAGCTAATGAAGAAGACTGGTCATCTTCTTAAGTACTGCATTAATGCAGTACCATCAAAATTTTTTAATGATCATTAGACAGTAGTATTATAACGCACAAAAGATTTCATTTATACTAGTGGGGTTAAAAATGTCTTCATTATTAAAGAGCTCTGACTTTCTACTTCAAAACAAAAGAACTCCAGTAAAATTCCACTTTCATCCTTTTGCAGGAATGGAGAACGTAAGGTGATGAGCAGTGAAAAGCTATATATTTTAGAAATTAGTAAGTTAAGGAATATTAGTAATAATAAAGCTTTCTATAAGCACGAAGTGAAGTGGTCATTATGAATTTTCCTCATCTCAGATAATCAATGCAGCCTCATCAAGGACAGATTAGCATAGCTGCTTTCTCTGGCATCAGCTCAAGAGGCCTTCTTAAAGGTGTTAAGGATTCAAGTTAAAACCTTACATAGAAATCTACTAAATTATCACAGTAAGAATTATGCATCTTTAGATAAAGTATGTGCCATCTATTAGGGGTTTATAGAAAGATCTCTGTTTTTCAGACTAGTTTTATGAAAAAACAACAAAGCCAACCACCAACTGAAAAACAGGGCAAGCTTCAAAAATATATAATAAACTGTTGGATCTTTGCACCTGAGTAACACAATTAAGTTTAATAAATATGAATACTAAAATTCTAAGATAGAAATGAGCAAGTATAAAAAGTCTTAGTACATTTCCATGTATGTAAAATATGGAAGAGAGGGGCTATTATTAACTGACTTTCTGGCTAGGTTACTTGTTTTTCATTGCTGGGGATTGAACCTGGGGCCTCACACATGTTGAGGCAAGTGACCCACATGGTTTCTACCCCTGCGCCACATCTGTGGCCCTATCCAAGTTTCAGTACTGATTTTTAAAGAATCAAGACAGAGCAAGTGAAGGGTGGTGAATATGACTTTCTAAAATATGCAGTAAGAATTTTTTTGTGCTGAAGGGACTTGAAAAGGAGTAAATACAGGGGTTTCTCTCTGAATTCTCTATCTGCCTAAAGAAACAATAGTTATAAATCCCTTTCCTAAGCATTTCATCAGTCAGAAAAGACGAGGACAAAAAGAGACTAGGACTTGACACTACACTCAAACACTCAGCCACAATCACATCTCCCTTTCTTTTCTTCCTCTAAAGGCCCATTAATCTTTCCTAAAAATCTTTTCATATTCCTGAAGTGGCCTATATTCCTACATTCCTCTTCCCTTCCCTTCCCTTATTAAAATGGTAGTAAGTTCCCTTCCCTTATTAAAATGGTAGTAAGTTCTCAAACTTAAGTAGCTTTTTTGTGTGAGGGGTGGGGGTAAGGGGAGTACTCACTTTCTTTCTAGTGATCCCCAGATGCTATAAGATTAAAAATAAATACATTTGGATGCCTTTTCTCCTATAAAACTACCAGTTTATTTCCTATCCAGCTAGTGAACTTACTGTAAAAAGCCTTTTCTTCTCAAGACGTTAATTTTCTTTTGATAGATCAGAACATACATCAGTAGAACACATATCCATGTTCAAAATCATCTTCATGTTCGCAAATTATTACCCAGATAACTATAGAGGTTATTCATAAAGAGCTTTTAGTATGCAAAAACAAATGTGTAAACTACTATTATGAGGTCTAGTTTAATAAAATACAGTATTTTATACTGTATTCTAGAGGCAAGAACCAAAACAGGACACCAGCATCATGGCCAAGACATCCGTAAGTTTTGACAGTCCCCTGTTCCCAACAATAAATATCTGGCATTTGCCTATAAATATGAGTGGCCTTTTGGGAACTATGGGATCCAGCACTAAGGGACCCAGGAGGAGTTTACCCTTTGTGTACTGGGAACAGGAAGACAGGTGTAGGGGCCAAGAATGGGGCTCAGCAGTAAAATGCATGCCTTACGTATGTGAGATCCTGGGTTCAATTCCCCTAAAGACGTCTCCCAAACACGGACCCTAAAGTGACCTGCTAATCAGTTCCAATCCCTCACAAATGTAATCTGAGGCATGTGCAGAACAGACCTGGATAATAATCCACGGATGAGAGTGCCTTTATAGAAGTCCCATATTTCAAAGAACAGACGATCCAAGAAGCCAAATATGAGTTTCAACACTCTAATGTGGGTAAATGGAAGAGTCTGATATTACCTACATCACCTTCTCCCAAGGTAGTACAGCTCAGAGCCAAAAGAGATTACACTTGGCCCCCAACACAGCCACAGGAGGGAAGCCTGTGGGTGAGTACCCAACTTCCCCAGCTGTTCAGACACGCTGAGGCTGATTTGTCTCTTGCCTCGATCAGAGAACTGAGTCGGAAACTCCACAACTGAGGGGGAGGGAGGCGCAGGAAGAGACTGAGAAAACAGCACTGTCAAAGGTGGTTAAAGGGGGGCTGGAGCGATAGCACAGCGGGTACGGCGGCTGCCTTGCACGCAGCCAACATGGCCAATACAGGTTCGATTCCCAGCATCCCATATGATCCCCAGAGCACCGTCAGGTGTGATTCCTGAGTGCATGAGCCAGGAGTAACCCCTGAGCATCGCCGGGTGTGACCCAAAAAGCAAAAAAAAAAAAGTGGTTAAAGGGACAAGGCCCACCCGTGAACCCCTAGGAAAGCTCCACCTACAGATACTGCCCCACCCTGGGCAACTCAAGCACCCCACCTGCCTCACCTGCCTCACTCATTCTGTGGCCAGTTTCCTGTGCATACCTCTCAAAGGCAGTGATGCAGTGATGAGAATTAGAACTGGAAGACAGCTAGTGAGTATGTGCAGAAAACAGACCCCACATTGGTGGGCGAAGGAGAAAGTAGAAACTTGAGATGAAGCACTGATTTAGGGGAAATAAAACAGAAGCTCTCAACACAGGACCTAATGTTTTGTAGAAGAGAAAAATTAGAGGGGCTGGAGTGATAGCACAACAGGTAGGGTGTTTGTCTTGCATGCGGCCGACCCTGGTTCGATTCCCAGCATCCCATATGGTCCCCTGAGCACTGCTAAGAGTAATCCCTGAGTGCAAAGCCAGGAGTAACCACTGTGCATCGCCAGGTGTGACCCAAAGAGAAAGAAAGAAAGAAAAAAAAGAGAGAAAAATAAGAATTCTGACATAGGAAGGAACAGGAAGTATGGAACATACATATCTATGAAAAGTTTGAGAAAGTACAAGATTCTCTAGCAGGGCTGAGAGAAGGGATTTTTCCCTTGAAGGAACTTGGTAAAGTTGGCAGAGGAATTATTTGCTGAACAACTGTGGAGATAGCAAAGCAAAACTCCCGGGGGGGGGAAATTTTTTTTTGATTAAACATTTCATTTTTTCCAACATGAATCAAGGAAAAATCAAGGAACTTTGGTTAACACTGAAGGATTATAATAATCTTCCAATAAACTAAATCCAAAGACCTGGAGAGTGATATGGGGAAAGGGAATTCAGAACAATTATTCTAAGGAAACTCAATGAGCTAGAAGAAAACAAGAAGACAATTCAGCAAAATCAAGAAAACAATACACAAACAAAATGAGAAGTTCACAAAGAGAAATAATAAAATAACAAAACCAAAAACACTCTGGAGCTAAAAATTCAAAGCATGACCTAAAAATGCAATACAGAACATCCAGCTCAAACTGGATTGAGCAGAAGAATCTTTTCTAAGAAACTGCTTTTAATTTAGTTCATTTGAAGAAAACAACAAATGAAAAGATCCCTTGCTAAGTGTCTTTTCCTTTGCAGTACACCATAAAAATACTCTTAAGTTCTGTCTCAATTCATTTGAATTTGCTGATCATATGAAGAGATCTGATAGCTGTCAATTATCTTCTTTTAAACAGTATAATTTGGCAGGGGTAAATTTTTTATACTAATGGCATGGCAAATTTTTAAATACTGGATTTTAAAACCATTTCTAATTAATAAGCAGGTGGACTAAGCAATATGAAAAATTTGGCATAAATAGTAAGTTACTTTATCTAAAGTTAAAGTTCTATTTTTCCTTTTTATTTCTCCTACTGCACTTCAATATACAATAATTTTGCTCATTTGGTTTGTTTTCTTTTGCTTTGTTTTGGGGTGATCCCCAGCAGTACACTTGAGCTGATTTTCAAGCTCAGTGATTGGGTTTATTCCTGGCGATGTTCTAGGGGATCAAGTGGTACCAAAGCTCAAACCCAGACCTCCAGCATGCAGAGTATGCACACCAGCCTGAATGAATGACATTTCTTTTTATATTTCTGGATCTCTGTCTATGATGCTCCTAAAACTGCAATATCCTTCATCTCTGTTTATTAAAATCATATGTGGGGGGCTGAGTGATAGCACAGAGGGTAGGGCGTTTGCCTTACATGCGGCTCAACCCGGGTTCGATTCCCAGAATCCCATATGGTCCCCCAAACATAGCCAGGAGTAATTTCTGAGTGCATGAACCAGAAGTAACCCCTGTGCATCGCTGGGTGTGATCCAAAAAAAAGCAAAAATAAATAAATAAATAAAACAAAATAAAATCATATGTGGGATCCAACACCCAAAAGGAGAGAACAAAAGAGAACAAAAGGAGAGAACAGAGGCAGGGTGGAATGTGGGGGGATGAGGGGTGGGAGGAATACTGGGATCCATGGTGGTGGGAAATGGTCACTGATGGAGAGATGGGTATTTGATCATTGTATAATTGAAGGGCTGGAGCGATAGCACAGCGGTAGGGCATTTGCCTTGCGCGCAGCCAGCCCTGCTGAGCCGGGTTCGATTCCTTCGCCCCTTTTGGAGAGCCCGGCAAGCTACCAAGAGTATCTCACCCGCACGGCAGAGCCTGGCAAGCTACCCGTGACATATTCAATATGCCAAACACAGTAACAACAAGTCTCAAAATGGAGACATTACTGGGCCCGCTCGAGCAAGTCGATGAACAACGGGAGGACAGTATAATTGAAACCTAAGCCCCAAAATTTGTAAGTCTATATCTGTACCTCATGGTGTCTCACTAATAAAAATTTTTTTTAAAAAATTTTTTTAAATCATATGTGGGATCAAAAGGCATTTTATATCTTCCCCAGTTTATTTCATTTTCAACGTCTCTGTTATTAAAGTATTTGTGTAAGATTTACTTTTCTTTCCTAAGAGTATATTATAAATAAAATGTTCTCATCAAATTATAAAGCAAGGAAACCAAGAAATGTATAGCACATAGCTGATACTGAAAACACACCTTTTTTAAAATTCAATTTTAAGTGGTGCATTTAATTTTTTAAATTTTTTTTATTAGTGAATCACCATGAGGTACAGTTACAGGCTTACAAACTTGTGTGCTTGCGTTTCAGTCATACAATGATCAAGTACCCATCCCTCCACCAGTGCCCATTTTCCACCACCAATGGTCCCCGCACCCCTCCCACCACCCCCACCCCATCCCCTCCACCCTACCCCATCACTGTGGAAGGACATTCCCTCTTGCTCTCTCTTTTTGGGTATTGTGGTCTACAATAGAGGTATTAAGTGGCCATCTAGTCTACTTTCAGCCCACATCTCCCATCCCGAGTGGGTCCTCCTAGCACCCTTTATTTGGTGGTCCCTTCTCTGTCTGTGCTGCTTTTTCCCCCAGCATGTGAGGCCTGCTTCTAAGCTGTGGAGTGATCCTTCTGGTACTTATCTCTACTATTCTTGGGTGTTAGTCTCCCATTCTGTTACTTTATATTCCACAAATGAGTGCAATCTTTCTATGTCTGTCTCTCTCTTTCTGACTCATTTCACTTAACATGATACTCTCCATGTAGATCCACCTATATACAAATTTCATGACTTCATCTTTTCTAACAGCTGCATAGTATTCCATTGTGTAGATGTACCAAAGTTTCTTTAACCAGTCATCTGTTTTCGAGCACTTGGGTTTTTTCCAGATTCTGGCTATTGTAAACAGTGCTGCAATGAACATATAAGTACAGATGCCATTTCGACTATACTTTTTTGCATCTCTGGGATATATTCCCAGAAGTGGTATTGCTGGGTCAAATGGGAGCTCAATTTCTACTTTTTTGAGAAGTGTCCATAATGGAAAACACATTTTTTAAAAAAAGAAATTTATCTGTAAGGGCTTTCTGTTGGTTGGCTGGTTACTTTTGGTCTTTGGGCCACACCCAGTGGTGCTCAAGGTTTAAAAGTTATGTCTTCAGGGGTCCATTTCTAGCAGTGCCCAGGGGACCGTGAGATATCAGGATCAAACTCAGGGTATCTTCATGAAGTGCACTTCAGTCCTTTAAGTCATCTGCCCAGCCCTGAAAACACTTTAAAATTAAAATAGTGGGAGGCTGAAGCAATTTAGTACAGCAGGTAGGGCATTTGTCTTGCACACGGCCAACCCAGGTTTGATTCCCAGCATCCCATATGGTCCCCCGAGCACCATCAGGAGTAATTCCTGAGTACAAAGCCAGGAGTAACCCCTGTGCATCACCTGATGTGACTCAAAAAGCAAAGAAAATAATTTAAAAAAAAATTTAAATAGTGGGGGCCAGAAAAATAACTCAATGGACTGGAGCACAATCTGTGTAGGCAGAAGGTTCAAGTTCAATCCTTTGCACTACGTACATACCCCAAGCACCAAACTGAGTGAGAATCATCCTTGAGTACTGCTAAATGTGGCTCAAATGTGTTTTAATGTAAAAAAGACAGCTAAATAAAAATAAAGCAGTGATTTTAATTATTCTAATGATTGATTAAAATGAATTTTATTTTAATGAAAAATAGAAATAAACCTGCAAAACTGGTAGAACAGATGTTAGCACTCCTACCACTGCCACTTGACAGATTATAAACATGATAATTAATATTAAACAGTTAACAGTTTTTGGACATTGACTATGTGCTAGATGCTGAGCTAAATGCTCTGTACAACTGAATTTATTTAATCCTTTTTACTTTTTTAATTTCTTTCTTTCCTTTCTTTTGGGGGGGTAGGGTGGAGCCGCAAGCAGTACTGCTCAGGCTTACTCTTGGCTCTGTGCTCAGGAGTCACTCCTGACTGTGCTCACTGGGCCATATGGTGCTGGGGAGTCAAACAAGGGTCAGCCCCACATGAAAGGCCAAAAGGTATTATCGCCTGCACTTATCTCTCTGGCCCTTGTGTCATCCTTAAAACAATCTTTATGGTAGGTTCAATTCCTAGTACCAATTTACAGATGAGATGGAATGGGCGTTGGCAGTATAGTGGTGAGCATAGCTGCCTTCCAATTTACAGATGAAGAAAACAAAGTTGAAGAGGCAAAATGTTATTCCCAAAGTCCGACAGCTAGTAAATTAGGGCTAGTAAGTGGCAGAGCTCAGAATCAAACCCAGATCCTTCTGTCTACAAAGTGCCTACCTCTGACAGCTATACATTTCAGTATCTGCCCAACAATCTCACTGATTAACTACGACACTGAAGTTAGTATCATAGTTAAAAAAAAAAATCTAACTGCAAAGATTCAAATATTAAGGAAAATAAACTCTGATATCTGAACTACTAAACCATAACTGCAGCATAACACATGAAAGGATTACTTACTTGCACAATTTGCTTTCTCCCACGTGGAATTAAAAAATTCAGACAAAATCACAACTATCTGCATTCTATCTGACATTAAGAGACTTCTGGCACAATTAGGACTCTCTGAAGCATTCTGTAACAAAAAACAGAAAAATACAATTTTAGTATTTTGAGACCTCGCAAACACTTAACCTGAAGTCAAAAAACTATAAAATTAAAATTTTTACCAAAATTAGTGCTTTTGCTTGATATAACCAGATAATGATGTCATAATGTAATAAAATACTAGCAGCTGACATTTATTGGTACCAGGTTCACGTACAAAGAAAGAAAAATCTTTCCTTCTTTTACAATGGTTCTTTCCCTCTTCTTCCTTCTGTAGAACTCCTTACACCTGCAATACTATTATGCATAACTATTTATTACTCTCTATCAATACGTAAGAAAAAGAAAAACTAGAAAGGCTATCCACAAAAATATTGTAGTGCTTATTTCTGAATAATAAAAATAGACTTTTTGTTCATTTTTGTCCTTCATATACTGTCTAAATGTTCCTATAATGAACATATATTACTTATGAAATTGTTTCAGTCTGGAAGGTAAATGATTATAAAACATTTAGTTTCAGCTTCCAAGCAAGTTCAAGTTCAAAATCTTATGATCCACAAGAAAAGGTGAATATCCCGTTTGTACCCAGATATAAGAATGTACTTTACATAAGTAACTTTAATCATGAAAATTACACTATGCAAACAATAAATCCAAGTTCCTGGTTACTTGATCCTTATATATTTCCTTTTCTTACAATAAATCCAAGTTTCTGATTACTTGATCCTTGTATATTTCCTTTCCTTTGTGCCAAAAGCAAGGAACTAAGTCCTACTGACTCTATATTCTTTCAGTTATTTAACTCCTACTATCTACCAGGCACTAAAAGATCCTTGACGCAGCTGGAGAAACAGTACAGGAGCTAAGACAGTCAACAGCTAACACAAATTGATCCCAGGCATGATACATGGTTCCCTGAGCATCACCAGGGATCATTCTGAGCCAAGAACAGTCCCTGATGGGTCAGAGATATTACAGCGGGTGGAGAGGCACTTGCCCTCCACATGGCTGCTCAGGTTCAATCCCTGGCATCCCATATGCTCCCCCACGCACCACTAGAAATGATTCCTAAGTGCAGAGTCAGGAATAAGCCCTGAGCATTGCCAGATGTGCCCCTCACCCCCAACTCCTGCCAAAAAAAAAAAAAGTTCCCTTCTGCACCTCCAAAGAAACAGTGACCAAAATACAAAGACAGTCTACAGAATGGGAAAGGATATTCACCGAATACATATCTGACAAGGGGTTGATATCCAGGATATACAAAATACTGGTTAAACTCCACAAGAAGAAAACATCCAACCCCATCAAAAAATGGGGCAATGAAATGAACAGAAACTTTCTCAAAGAAGAAATCCGAATGGCAAAAAAGCACATGAGAAAATGCTCTACATCATTAATCATCAGGGAGATGCAGATCAAAACCACAATGAGATACCATCTCACACCTCAGAGACTGGCCCACATCCAAAAGAACAAAAGCAACCGATGCTGGCGTGGATGTGGCGAGAAAGGGACACTCCTTCACTGTTGGTGGGAATGTCCACTGGTTCAGCCCTTCTGGAAAACAGTATGGACGATTCTCAAAAAATTAGAAATTGAGCTCCCATTTGACCCAGCAATACCACTCCTGGGAATATATCCCAGAGAGGCAAAAATGTATAGTCGAAGTGACATCTGCACTTGTTTGTTCATTGCAGCACTCTTTACAATAGCTAGAAACTGGAAGAAACCTGAATGCCCACGAACAGATGACTGGTTAAAGAAACTTTGGTACATCTACACAATGGAGTACTATGTAGCTGTTAGAAAAGATGAAGTCATGAAATTTACATACAAGTGGTACAATATGGAAAGTATCATGCTAAGCGAAATGAGTCAGAAAGAGAGGGATAGACATAGAAAGATTGCTTTCATCTGGGGGATATAAAGTAACAAAGTATGAGATTAATACCCAAGAATAGCTGAGATCAGCACCAGGAGGATTACTCCATAACTTAGAGGCCAGCCGGGTATCCTAGAGGAAAGGGCAGTTCAGATAGAGAAGGGAGCACCAAATAAAGGATGTTTGGAGGATCCTCCCAGGAGGGGAGATGCATGTCGAAAGTAGACTATGGACTGAACATGTTTGCCACTCAATGCCTCTTTTGCAGACCACAACACCCAAAAGGAGAGAGAGAACACAGGGGATTGCCCTGCCACAAGACAGGGGGGATGGGGGGATGGGGGTGGGAGGGATATTATCCATGGTGGTGGAAAATGGGCACTGGTGGAGGGATGGGTATCTGATCATTGTATAATTGAAACCAAAGCACAAAAAATTGTAAATCTACAATTGTAAAAAAAAATAAAATAAAGGGAAAAAAATTAAAAAAAAAAAGTTCCTAAGCACTTCTGGAAGTGTCCCCACAGCACTCCCCCATCCCCCACCCTCTGCCCCCTCTGTCAAAATAAATAAATCCTGGAGCACATGGGAGATAACTCAAAAGGCCTGGAGTACATGCTTTGAGGGTTCACTCTGCAGCACCACATCCCTAAGTACCATCAGGAGTTACCCCAAAAAACCAAGCCAGTAGCACCTAGCACTATCGGGTGTGATCACAAATGACAAACAATTAAAAAAAACAGGAGTTTTCGTGGTGAAGTGATAGTACTGGGTAAGGTGCTCACCTTGCATGTGGTTATTTATCCCATCGTCCCATAAGGTCCCCTGGCATCCCATGCGGCCTCCTGAGCACTGCCAGGAGTGATTTCTGGGTGCAGACCCAAGAGTAACACCCGAGTAGCACTGGATGTGCCCCCCAAAAAATAATTCTGGAATTTGGGGGCCAGGGACATAGCTAAAAGGGTCAGATCATATGCTCTTCATGCAGAAGCCCTAGGTTCAATCCCACATATTCCCCAGGCACCACCTGGAGTAGCCTCATAGCATAATACCACAAAGGGCGTGCCCCTGCAACACAAGGCAAAACAACCCCCAGAGTTTTAAGGATTTAAAATATAAGTAAAATATGCCACCAACACTGGGCTCTTAGAAGCCCCCACAGACATAGAAAAAGGGAATTTAATGTGATAGATAACTAGAGAGGAGAGTCCGTTCTCTAAGAAGAAACTGTCAGTGTGTGGGATGAGGAAAGAGGGAAGGGACATCATCCTTGCTTTAAGCTCTCTGAGGGCTAGAGAGATAGTTCAGTGGGTAAGGCGCTTGCCTTGTACACAGTTGACCATGTTCAATCCCAAGCACCATATACAGTGCCCTGAGCACCTCCAGGAGTGATTCCTGAGTGTAGAGCCAAAGTCAGGAGTAACCCAAGTATGGCCTGGCATGGCCCCCCGCACAAACAAAACAAAAGAAATTCTCTCTCTCTCTCTCCACATATATAAAGTTCATTATGACTTAGTTTTATGACTTCTTTAAAAGATGCACCAACATGAATAATTGCTTTTAAAACATTGAATTAAACAACACATTTTGAAGTCCCTTGCATAAAATTGCTTTCAGAGCAATTTTATCATCCAATGACAACAATTTCCATTACCTACTTTTTTAAGTTTTGTTTTTTAATTATTTACCCAATAACCAACTGATAGGGGTTAATATCAAAGATATAAAAGGCACCGATAGAGCTTTACAAGAAAAAAATTTCAACCTAATCAAAAAATGGGGAGAAAAAAATGAACAGAAACCTCTTCAAAGAAGAAATATAAATGGCCAAAAGGCATAAAAAAAAAATGCTCTACATCACTAATCATTAGGGAGATGCAAATCAAAACAACAATGAGATACCATCCCACGCCACAGAGACTGGCACATATCAAAAGGAACAAGAACAACCAGTGCTGGCATGGATGTGGGGAGAAAGGGACACTCATTTACTGTTGGTGGGAATGCCAATTGGTCCAGCCTTTTTGGAAAACAATATGGACATTCCTCAAAAAAACTAGAAACTGGGTTTCTATAAGACCCAGCAATCCCACTCTGGGAATATATCTTGGGAGTTCAAAAACACATAGCAGAAATGTCTTCTGCACTTCTATGTTCATTGCACCACTATTCACAATAGCCAGAATCTGGAAACAACCCGATTGCCTGGGAATAGATGACTGGATAAAGAAACTAAACTTCTAGATAACAGAATACTCTGCAGCCACCAGGAAAAACATAGTCATACAATTTGCTTATAAATGATGGACATGGAAAGTATCATGCTGAGTGAAAGAATCAGAAGGAGAGGGACAGACATAAAATAATTGTACTGATTTGTGGAATATAAAAAAAAACATAGTATGAGTATACTATACAAGAATAGTAGGAACAAGGGCTAGGAGGACTGGACCATAGTTGAAAGCTTGCTACAAGTCTGTGGGAATGGCAAGAGTGGTTAGCATCGAGAAAGGACCACTATGACAATGATCACTCTGGACAAGAACTGAGTGTTGAAAGTAGGTAAAGGGACAAACATGATAATCTGATCTGGGGGAGGGGGTAGCAGGGAAACTGGGGACATTGTTGGTGAGAAATGTACACTGGTGAATAGACAGGTGTTGGAACACTGTATGACTGAAACCCAATCATGAACAACTTTGCAACTGTGTATCTCATGGTGATTCAATAAAAAGTAATAATAACTTTTTACATTTTTTAATTTTATTTTTTTAGGCCACACTGGTAGTGCTCCAGACTTACTCCTGGCTCAGCATTAAAGGATCACTCCTGGAGGTGCTCATGGGATGACATGGGGTGGACTAGTATCCATCAGTTCTACCATCTCTTCAGCCCCCATTTACAGCTTCTTAAATAGCTCATGTCCTGAGGAATCAGACAATCTTGGGTCACTAGCAGGCAATCTTCAGCAGCTGAGGTGACTTCTATACACTTCTGTATCATAACTATGAGTTTAATAGTTGCTGAAGTAAATGATCACTTAGCACAAGGCCTGGTAATAATATCTGACATAGGCTATTTCCAACCTATCCAGCTAGGGCTGGAGCAATAGCACAGTGGGTAGGGTGTTTGCCTTACACATG